GGTTCGGGGCGTGACATCACGGTTTGATTTGGCATCAAAGCAAGGACAGCTCGATCTAAGTAGGTCGAAGTCTGGAGTGATAAGGAGCAGAGACCCTGGGGTAGTAATTTATGGAGACCTTAGCGATTCATAGGGTGGAATGAGCTACGCGTGCCTCCAGACTGTTTGTTGTGAATGCTGAATGAATTGAGTGTTATAACGATTGAGATGCAAGTGCGTCTGGACCTGAGGTAAGTCCACAGACCTTATTGATTGTGGCCTTGGGCTGTGGTGATTGATTACCTTCTGAGTGAATTATTGTGTTAATTCGATGCCTAGGACTAGACTGGTATAGTTGGCCTAGGCTTCTAATTCCTGAGTGGAATTATAGCAGGTAGGCGAGTGATAGAAATCGTGAGGATGAGTTCGCGAGGTAGAGGAACTAGGGGTCCATCCAGCTCATGAGCCCGACCTGCAGGAGATCCGAGAATGGATGCGGTCATGAGGACCCTAGAAGAGATTGGTAATCTGATAGGGCGGCAGACTCAGGAACGAGCTGCCACTATTGCCCAAGCTGCCAAGGCCACTGTGGCCGCTGCCGCCAATAATAATAATGGGAATCAAGGGTAGGGGCAGGCGAATATGAATAGGCAGATGCACCAGTTAGTCGAGCAGTTTCTGAAATTAAAGCCCCTTAAGTAAAATGGTAAGGGCGACCTTGAGGTGGCATCGCTGTGGGTAGAGAAATTAGAAAAGGCTTTTGAGGTATTGGGGTGTACAGATGAGGAGAGAGTGACATTAGCAGTGTATTAATTACAAGGAAATGCAAGTGATTGGTGGAAAGCCACCAGAGGAAGGGTGTTCCCGGCTGGTACCGCCCAGACTTAGGCGATGTTTGTGGAAACCTTTAATGGTAAATATTTTTCTGAAAGTGCCCGGGAACGGAAATTAGCTGAGTTTATGAGGCTTCATCAGGGGCAGAGGACAGTGGATCAGTATGAGGCTGAATTCACTCGACTATCTAAGTTTGCCCCAAAGATGGTGGAGGACCCGTTGGATAGGGCTCGGAGATTCCGAGACGGCTTGAAGCCGAACCTTCGCAGCTAAATGATTTCGTTGAATTTGAGAGATTATAACGAGATTTATGATCGGGCCCAAGCGATTGAGCGGGACTTGGTGGATAGGGATGCCACTACTGGGTCGAGATTTGCCTAGGGTAGGGACAACCGTCACTTAGGAAAGAGGCTAATGACGGGTAATCGACGTTTCATCCCTCCTGCTAAAAGGAATATAGGGAAACCGATCCGTTTTCAAAATGGTCCATGTCGGGTGTGTGGGGAAAGACATGGAAATGGACCTTGCCCAACCAGGGGTGGAGTATGTTTCGGATGTGGCGGATTTGGTCATCATATAAGATTTTGCCCCAACCTCAGGCAGAATAGATTGCCTGCGTTGCCGCCACCCCGGAACGGGAATCGAATTGGAGCTGTCCAGACAGCTAATCAGAATAGGCCACAGGCCCAAGGATGGGTGTACGCCATGGCCAGAAGAGAGATTGAGAACGCGCCAGGGGTAGTCACAGGTACGGTTTCTCTGTGCGATCATGCTGCGTATGCTTTATTTGACCCTAGGGCGTCACATTCATTTATATCAGAGCAGTTTGTTGAATTGACTGGTATAGAACCGCAGTTGCTTGATGTTATGTTGTGTGTTACAACTCCCTTGAATGATGAGGTGCTAGTCTCGTTGGGGTACCCGAATTATAAGATTGTGATTGGTGATAGGGAGGAAATGATAGATTTGGCGGTTCTAGCCATGTATGATTTTGATGTGATAGTGGGTATGGATTGGCTGACTAAGCAGAGGGCCGTAATGGATTGTAGTAGCAGGGTGATCCAATTTAATCCTGTTGGACATCCGGAATTCAAATTTGTGGGAAATCGAGGGGGAACCTCAATCCCATGGATTTCGTCGTTAGAAATGACTAAGTTGTTGAGCGAAGGGTGTCAAGGATTTCTAGCGGCTGTGGTTGATTCGATGGCTGAAGAGCCGAGGCTAGAGGACATAGCCGTGGTGTGCGATTATCCTGATGTTTTCCCTCAAGAATTGCCGGGATTGCCACCAGAAAGAGAAGTAGAGTTTGTAATCGAGTTGGCCCCTGGAACTAAACCAATCTCGAAGGTACCTTATAGGATGTCATTGTCGGAGTTAAAGGAGTTAAAGGTGCAAATGCAAGAATTATTGGACAAAGGATTTATTCGTCCAAGTGCGTCTCCATGGGGAGCGCCAGTTTTATTTGTGAGAAAGAAAGATGGATCGTTGAGGTTTTGTATCGATTACAAGCAGCTAAACTAGGTGACGATCAAAAATAAATATCCCCTGCCAAGGATAGATGATTTGTTTGATCAATTACAAGGGGCTTCGGTGTTTTCTAAAATTGATTTGAGAACGGGATATCATCAATTGAGGATCAGGAAAAAGGATATACCGAAGACGGCATTTAGGACGAGATATGGACACTATGAATTTATGGTAATGCCGTTCGGATTGACGAACGCCCCTGCTGCCTTTATGGACTTAATGAATCGGGTGTTTAAGGAGTTCTTAGATCAATTTGTGATCATTTTCATAGATGACATATTGGTGTACTTACATTACTTAAAAATTTAGTCATTAATTAGAGACTAAGTTGGGCATTGGAAATTTAGAAAGTCACGACAAATCATTTGGACGACGTTGTTATTAGCATGATTAGCCTTAGAATTGTCCGAATCCTTCTGAAAAATCAAATTTCGGCGAGAAATGAAAAATGACCATTTTACCTTTGAGATTTTGTTAAGGCCAAGTGTAAATGGGGAAGGGCATTTTGGTCATTTCACCCTCACTTTAGAAATGACAATTTTTGGACAATTTTGCCCTTGGTAATTTTGTGAAATTTCAATTTTGCCCCTGGATATTTTTGGCAAGGATTAATCTAGACCGTCGATCATAGGATAAGATCGAATCTTGGTCGTTGATTGGAAATGTGAGAGAGGGGTATGATGGTCTTTAGGCATGTGTATTAGACACAAATAATTGACCTTGGGTTATTTAAACCAAATTTCTCTCTCTCTCCTCACTCTCTCACCTCTCTCAGCTTCCCTCTCCCTCTTTCCCTCCCAACCGAACTTCCTCCGCCTCCTACCGATCACGTGGCCAATCGCCCAGGCCGGCCGTCGCCACCACCTTCCCGCCGAGCTGGAGCCACCGCCACCGTGGCCACTCGCCTCACTACCGCCGCTCACCTCACCATTTCCCCCTCCCCTATTCTGTCCCCATCGAAACACCAGCCCCCTTCGATCTTGTCCAGCCGTGGAAGATCAGCCACCGTCCAGCCAGTCGTCGTACGCCACCGTTCAGCCGCTCGCCGTCGTCATCCGCCACCGAGTGGCCGCCGGTCAGCCGCCCTTCCCCTTCAGCCGAGCTAGCCTAAATTCCAAGTAAGTCGCCCCCTAAACCCTATTTAGGATATCGGGTATCGATAGACTTGATTAGGAGTTGAATCGAGTTGATTAGTGGCGGTTTAGGGGTTAACTTGGTGGATTGGATTGGGATTTGGAATTGACTGAATTGTGGATGAGTGGTGATTTTTCAGGACTGATTTGAGGCTGAGTTGAGTACTGGACTTTGTGGATTGAATTGACGAGCATATGGCTCGATTTAGGGACAAATGGTGTCGGTTTGGTGTGCTGTAATGTGGCTGGATTGTGGTGCTTGTTATGGTGTGAAATGAGCTTGGAAATGCTGAATTTATGCCATGATTGTGGCTGTGATTGTGGGCTCGATAGTGGCCTCGTATGTTTGTTGAATCATGAGTTGATTGATTGAAATGTGGGCCGTTATGTGCGCGCATGGGCTGAATTGAATTGACTGGCAATTGGCCGCGATTTGGTGTTTATTGAGCTTGTGAAATGCATGAAGTTTGATGCGTGCATGGGCCGAATTTGATCGGCTAGTAAATTGGCAATATTGGCGTGTAAATCGAGCGAGTGAATAAATGAGAAATTGTGTGTGATGTTGTATGTGTGGTCACGAAAATCCCTGAGGCAGTACCATTACGCGGGGAATTGTGCCATCTTGAGGCGGTACCATAACGCGAGACGATGCCTGGTATTACCGGAAGACGGCCAACCTGAGGCGGTACCATAATGCGGGTTGTGCCGTAGGTGGCGGATGTTGAGCCTGAGGTGGTACCATTACGTGGGCAAGATACATAGCCTGAGGCGGTACCACTATGCGGGCTAAGGAGTGTTGTGAATATGAGTTGGTCGCAGTGAACCTGAGGCGATACTACTACGCGGGTCACTGGTGAGTCGAGCGAAAATACGAGATGGTCGCAGTGAACCTGAGGCGGTACTACTACACGGGTCACTGGCGAGTTAAGTGAAATTAGTGTGATGAGGCATGAATGAGTGTATGAAATGTGGAAGTGAAATGCCACGTGTTCGACTTGTATATTGGGCGTGAAGTTAATTTGAAATGTGCATGTAATTGGAAATTATATATATAATTAAGACTAACCTGCAGATTGTGAGTATCAAAAGCCAGGTAAGTGCAATTGTGTGCATGATGTGTTTATTGGGTGATATTATGTTTGGTCTTGTCCGGAGGTACGTGATAGCCTAGGTGGGGTTTAGGGTGTGTACTTATTGAGAAGTGTTCTCATGGTTGTTTCAACCAACAATTTCATAACCCCAGCCTAAGCCATGAACCTTCCACCACCGCCACCGCAGCGTTTTGGGATTTCGATGCACACCGACCATAATGTTGTAGAATACCCGATAGACGAAAATATGACATGGGTTAAGCATACTACCGTAGTCTAGGTAAACGTAGGACTACCTCTTTGGCAGGCCCATACCTACACCGCCTGGATGTTCAGGGACGGGTTGGATGAGTTTGGCCCCGTCCGGGGCTTTGACGTTTCATTTGACGGAGTAGGGGATTGGGATCCATCAGCCATTCCCCCTCCTGACGGCGAGATGACTAGTTTGGATACTAGTCTCGCCCAGTCCGGACACCAGTCTGCGCCTGCAGCACCTGAACCTCCCGTGGCTGAGCCTGATTCGAAGCCGGAGGAGTCACAGGCAGGGTATGATCCTATGGAGGTGGATCTCGAGGTAATACCAGAGGAGGAACCGGAAGAAGAAGACCCTGAGGAAGAACCTAAAGAGGCGCCGGAAGAAGAACCCGAAGATGAGCCCGAAGAAGACCCAGAGATGGAACCAGAGGTCACATCCGAGGACGAGCCAGAGGATGAGCTAGAGAACGAGCCGGAAGAGGAGTCTGATGAGGAGGAGCGGGTCGAGATTCTAGTGGAGTCGGATGATATAAGCAACCCAATCGAGATCGAGGCAGATTCTGAGTCCTCAGATGATCAGGTAGCTCAGGGGGACTCAGACTCGGGTCCCGAGGAGTCAGACTCGGAGTGGACGCCATCTAGAGGGCATAAGGGCTAGTGTAGGGGTTGAGTGTAGGCCTTTTGAGGTGTTCCATTTTTTACTGTTAGGGTACCCAGGCTACTGATCTTTTTGATATCGGTGGTGCATAGTTTAGATATTCGGTGTGCTTGTATATTATGGGTTGTATATGGTGGATGTTGTATAAAGTTGGTTAGGTAATGGATGTCTATTCTCCCTTTTAGCCCTAGTCAATTATTGTTTGGGTGTTTGTGGCTTTCGCTGATGCTTTAAATCTCTGATAAGTTGATTGGGTCGGCGATTTTCTGGGACATCGCAATATTCGACCAAAGAGGTGTGTCGCGTGCTCGATTGGGGTTTGGGGTGTGACAAAGGTCTATGTGCTCGATAGGTTTCCTGGGACGTAGGCGCGACGACAGTCCTAACACAATGCACTTCTGCCTTTTCTAGTCGCATTTAATGAATTTCTTATTGATGGTTGATCTTAACACCGCCTATAAGCACAGAGAGAGAGAGAGAGAGAGAGAGAGAGAGAGAGAGAGAGAGAGAGAGAGAGAGAGAGAGAGAGAGAGTGAGAGAGGGGTTGGAGCATGAAACTATGAGATGAAAGCGAAGAAGCCTGATAAATAAAGACCCCGGTGAGGATGCTAGCAAGGATCACTTAGAAGGGAGTGAATAGGTGACTTAAATAATTCTTGACCAATTTAAAGCGAAAGTAAAAGATCAAGAGCAAATTCTGAACAACATTAAATTTTAAGCAGACTTTGAATAGCAATTATATAAATGTGCAATGAAATAAATGAAAGAAGCTTTAGGGATGAGAAAAATTGCACACAAGATGTATAGTGATTTAGCTTAGATCAAGCCTGCGTGTGATATTCTGAATTTCGACCCACTTTTGAGATAAATGAAATGTGTATGTTCTTCAATGCATTTATAGTTAAATCTCACCTGAAACTGATCATTCTCGGGATACTAACCTTTAGGGAATGGCTACCTAGGGAAATGTACGTGAACTTACGAACTCGACCATAAGTCGACCTTCGGTGACGATCGAGGTCACCATGACTTGAGTAACCATAGGTCGATACGCGTAAACCCTAAAAAGCCGCCCATTAGTTAGAGATAAACTAAAGTCGCATTTGAGTGAAATTGGCCGTCATTTGAATCCGAACTTGAATGTCGAATTTCTCGAAGTGTCATGACTAATTTATTTGGACGACATCATATAAGCGTGGCCAACCTTAAGGTTTATTGGATTTGTTGGAAATTTGGCTCGGGAAAAATGGAAGTGAACCGAGCAAAGCCCGTTGGGCCTCGCGCCCAAGGGGGCCGGCCATCAAGGCCCGATAAGAACAAGTCGACTCGTAATTCGTCACCCAGGCCGAGGGAAAATTGGTAATTTGGGGGACAAAATTGAAGGAAAAATTGCAAAAGAGAATTTGTGGAAGATATTTCTTGTGGGGATAATCATTTTCCCCCTTTCTTCTCTCTCTCCTCTCTCTCTCTTCCTCCTTTCTCGCTGACTTCCCCATGCTGCTAGCCCTTCCTCGCTGACTCCCCCTTTGGCTGACACCACTAACTCCCCACCAACCCTCATGATGGACTTTCTTCTCTTCTCTTCTTCTTCTTCTTTTCCTTCCGTTTCTTCCGCTGGCTTCTACTACCTCTGGCTTCTACTGCTGCTTCCTTCGCTGGTTCTGGTGCTGCTTCTTCCTTTTGCTGCTGCTTCCTTTGCTGGCTTTTATTTCTGCTTCTGCTCCGCTGCTGCTGTTTTAGACCTTGTGCTGCCCTTCTTGCTTGGTCTTGCTTGCTTAGGCTTTGAGTAAGTGGCATTCTAAACCTTGTCTAAGCTAAGGGGTTACCAATGGGCATATTAGGGGTTGATTAGTGGCTGTGGTTAGTTGGTTTAAGGGCTAGATGAGTAGATTTGCTTGTTGGTTGTGTTTTCAGATTTTGTTACTACTGTGCCGCCGAGTTTTACTATTTTTTTTGAGACCTGTGTGGGCCGAATCTGGGATTTTGTCCTTTATGAAAGATGTTCAAAACATCTTGAAATACAACATATTTTAATTTGGAAATTTTTGGAAGCCATTTGAGGCCATTCGGAAGTCCATCTTTGGACTGAAATTAGTCTGCCAGAAACATTGTTCCTTCGACCTTCGGGTCTGTTCGAATTTTATAAATTTTTTCAGACCTATTTTCAAAATACTTCCTTCACAAAACTTGTTGGGGACATTTGTGGATATAACATATAAACATTTCAAAGCTTTCTAAAGAGATTTGGTTACTGTTTGAAATGCATTTTGAAAGCCGGATGGCCAGTCCGAATGAAATATTTTATGTCCAACTTTAGATGACAAAAAGAGGTGGTTCTAGACATAACTGGGTTTTGAGTTCTCATGAAAAATGTTCATCAGGATGTTGTCTAGGACATATCCGAAATTTATAATTTTTGGAGTTGAATTACTATTTATTTTAAACGGAATTCCAGAACTGTGCACTAGCCCGGATTTGCTCCGAATCTGTGTATTCGGTTTTCCCTTGTTCCTTGTGGCTGAGCTGTGGTGCTTGATGGCTGAGTTGAATGTTGTGGTGCTTGGTAGCCGAGTTGAATATTGAGATGTGTGGATTTATGCCATTGAGTGTATAGCTTGAATTGTGGATTGAAAGGTGTGGAATGATTGGGTGATATGGTTGAGCTACATTGCTACCCTTATGAATGGATTGGTTGGGCTGAGTTGTTGATTTGGAATTGAGCATGTTTGTGTGTGATTAGGGCATGTGGATGTTGTATGAAGGGAATGAGATATGTATCGCATATGATCGATAGGCCCTGAGGCGTGTTGACACGAGGAAAGGCATGAAATTGAATGAGGATGTACGTTTTACATGAAATTGAATGAGGATGTACGTTTGACCCTATAATCCTTGAGACGTGTTTACGCGAGGAATTGGATTTGTCTTGAGGCGTGTTACGCGAGACAATGCCCGGATAAACCGGAGGACCGCCGACTTGATGTGTCTTTACGCGAGTTGTGCCGTAGACTTGATGCGTGTTACGCGAGTCGTACGATGAGGTGGGCCTGAGGCTTGTTAAGCAGGTCGATATTGATCGGGGTGGACACATGTGCGTATCGAAAGTTGAAAGATGTGAGCATGTCTAGAGATTGAGATTGGAATAGGTTGGAATGTTATTATGGATGCATGTGTAAGAAATTGGTTGTATCTTGGAGTGCATGTGCATTGAGAAGTTGGTTATATTATTGCGATCCAACTAACGTACAGGGTTATATATGCATCGAGGTAAGGCTAGTGAGTGCCTTTGAATGTTATTGCATGTTGATTGAATGTGTTGGGTGTTATTCTATTTGTCTGGAGGTACGTGTTAGCCTAGGTAGGGTTTAAGGTGTTGCTTATTGAGACTCGTTCTCATGGTTATTATATAACCATTTCAGGCCCCCAACCCCGATCATGAATGGTCCGTCACACCGTTTTGGGATCCCGAGGAAGAGCCGATGGAGCAAGACCCAAAGAGGAGCCCATGGAGTTGGTGGACCATTTTTGTATAACTAGGCTAGCCTACCCAACCACCAGTCCCTTTTTGATGATGGTGGTTTTAACCCTAGTGGCCTTTTGTATGTAAGGTTGGATTTTGTAAGTACGTGCCGTTGAATGAAGTATGTGGTTGTTTTGTTCAAGTGTTCTCCTACTACCCTTGGTCTTTAATCTTGTCTGGGTCTTATAATTGCTTCCGCGTGCATTCTATGCTTGAAGTTTCGTTTGGGTCGGCGACGAGTCCTGAGACGTGGCATTCGAAATATGACCACGGAGGGATGTCGCGGGCTCGGTGGGGTCCGGGGCGTGACACTACATCCACTCTTCCATGCTAACAGCTTACTGGCTTGATTCCACTAGATGATCAATTGAAGAGATTATAGATTTTGAGTGATTACTCTTTGTGTAAGATAGGTCAGTCTATCTCACTTAATCACTCTTACAATAAGTCTCTCAAGATCACAGATTTTAGCTCAAGAAAGACAAGTAACACTGATTGGAGTATGCTCAGACTTTGGAATAGATGATTCTTGATATCGTCTCTCTTGTTCTGTTCCTTGACAATTTATCTCCTTTTATACTCCTCCACTTCCAAACTACAACATTGGACAGTCTTCAGAAGATCATCTTCCAATCTTCATCTTAAATAGATTTGTATAAAGAGGATTGAGTAACCGTTGAGTGACAAAGTCTAAATCCCGTTGAATCTGGTTGCCCATATGATCATAACTTTAGTTTCCATACAAAGAGCCTCTTCAGAAAGAAAGAAACTTGTCTCGTGGTTGATTATCAATCAATTTTAAATATTTTGCGATATAAATATCCCTTGCAAAAATAGCCTTTAAGATTGAGTCAATCAAGACTTTCCATTTGTGAAATCCAAAGCAGATTACTAGCCATTGTGTATGTTCTAATTTTGCATCAAAGTCCGGATATAATCTGATTCTATATGATTTGATCTTGCATTCAGAATGTATGTCAAGATGGGTTATCTCTTAAAATTTGAACCTTCTGATTTCAGTATAAATGCCAAAGTTCTCCAAAAGCCTTATTAAGCCTGAACTTCGATGCAAAGTCTGAACCTCACGAAGTAAAGGATTTGCCATCGTCAAAGTATAACTTCCTGAATCAAAACATTTGTTAGACTTTACAAAATATATATATGGATAGTTTTGTCAACTTCAAAATCTATTATGAGATTTTCCCAACAATCTCCCCCTTTTTTTATGGTAACAAAACCTTCCATGCGGATTAACAGATTTTGAAAGTATTGAGTAAGAAGTTCAAACATATGTCAGAGTAGATATTCAAGATATACTATATGAGTAAAATATTTTGATATGAGATTTTTATGCTCTATTTTCAAATAAAATTGACCATAGAATATGAAGCGCAAGATTTAGACCATAAAAAACTGAATCTCAGTTTGTCCTTTTTAACCTACGTAGCAAATCATATCTGCATTTAATAACCTGCATATTAGACCATATCTACATATCTCTCCCCTTTTTGTCAGCAGAACAAGACAAAATATATGACAATCCAAAATACTAATCCAGAACAATCCAATTCAAAACATAAAGATAAGTGCAAAGTTCAAACGCACTGAATATTTTGAAATAAAGTAGGAATGAATAACAGTCTAGGATTTGTAGGGTACTCGGACAAGTTGGAAATTTTCCAAATTCTTCACAGCTTCTTCAATCTTGGACATGCATTGACCAAATGATTTCTCAATAGCTGCCATGTTCTGCTCTGCTTGATGATGAACATTCTGAATTTTGTTATCAACATTTGCCTTCAGTTTGTGAAATTCTTCATCCAGTGCAAATTATTTTTCTTTAATTTCTAGGAGAAGAGAAATGATGGTCTCATCATGTGAGGATTGTCCTTGGAAATCTTCAAAGTCTGATTGTTCTATTTGTACCCCTTTGCCTTTCTGAAGCTCCCCCAGAATTTTTGCATCCATATCGGCTATTTCTGGAATCTCCTCAAAGTCCTGTGTGTCATCAACTATATGTGTAGCTGGTGGAGATTTGCTTTCTTGTGTCTGAGCAGGAGCATCACTATGATCTTGTTCCTTCATCAGTAAATTTGCTATTTTGACAATTTCTTGTTCAGTAGTATTTTCCATAGCCTTTTCTTTGGCAGACTCTTGTTCCTCTTTATTCTTGTTCTCTTCCTCATCCTTCTCATCTTTTAGAATGGTCTCTATTTTTCTCTTCTTCCTAGAGACTTGAGAAGATTTCTAAATAGTAGTCTGGCCTTTCTTCTTTTTCTCAGACTTTTCTGGAATCTCTGTTTTGATGGATTCCCTTTTCTTTCTTTTCAAACTCACATCAAGCTGTGTAAACTGCATTTTGGAGATCATTTTCTCACCAACAATCATTTCAGAGAAACAATTTTTCCTCAATTTAGCAGGAATTTCAATTTTAAAGAAATTAATAGTCTAGGTAATTAGAGCACCATATGGATGTTGGCCTTTGTTCTTCAAGACAATTCTGTACATATGAAGTTTAATAATATGAGGTAGGGAGAAAGGAACCTCATTTATGATAGCCCAAATCATCTTAGCTTCAAACTTTGACAGATATGTCTTTGAAGATGCCTTTGGTCTCATACAGTTGATGATAATCTTGTACAGGATAATGTTCTTCTTGGTCAGACTTGAATATGAGATATGAGTCTTGGAATATCGAGTAAAGTCTAGATTCTCAGAAATTACCTTATAGGCTTCCTCTGGTGTGACTTCAATTGCAATAAAGTTCCAGGACTTCACACCAATAATTTCAGCAAGTTTTGATACATCCAAGTCATACTTCCTTTCAAAAACAGTAAAACTTATCCAATTTGGAGAAAGAAATGATAAGTTTGAATAGAAATATGTAGTCAACTCAGGATAAACCGGAGAAGATTGCAAACAGAATTCTTCCATTCCTAATTTTGCAAAATGTTTTCTCACTGAAATTCCAATTCTATCCAGGAACGAGAAATCTAGTGTTCGATGATTCATTACTCCTCCAGACAGAAGTAAAGTATGATTGTCTTGATGCATTTTCGTTCAGAATAATTTTCCAACAGAACTCTCTATCCCTGCAGCATTCCTTCCTGTTCTAACTTCAAAGTTCCTATATAACCTATCATCATCATCCTCTTTCTTTCCTTCCCACTTAGACTCAGAACCACTTTTGTGACTTTCGAATTTCGACCCTTTTTTGGGATTTATAAAATGTGTATTTCGTCAGCGTGCCTATGATAAAATCTCGCCCGGAACTGATCACTCTTGGGTTATTTTTTTTTTTAAATTAGAGATTTCGCTAGAATCGCACTCGATCGAATTTGGCCGTTATTTAGAGCCCGAACTTTGGTATCGAATTTCTCGGAGTTTCATGACGAATTTAATTGGACGGTGTCGATATTATTGTGGCCAGCATCGATATTGCCCGGAATTGGTGAAAAGTGAAATTTGGACCGGGTGCGGATTTTTGACTAGTAAACCTCCCTCTTAGTGTATTTTAGTTAGTGTTTTTGGCCTTTTTCCTAATTTATAAATTAGGATTTTTCGTGGACCATCGGATCAACTTCGAGTTTGAACGTGAGCCATTGGATCACACTCATTGAGTTGACTTTCTCCCTCCCATCTCTCTCTCTCTCTCTCTCTCTCTCTCTCTCTCTCTCTCTCTCTCTCTCTCTCTCTCTCTCCCTACGCACATCCACTCCTCCCCTCTACCCATGCAAACCTACTTCCCTTCTCTCTCTCTCCTCCTTTTTCTTCTTCTTTCTTCTTTCTTCTTCTTCCTTCTTCTTCATTTCTTCGCAACTCCTGCTCATCCCCTTCTTTGCTCGCCCGCCCACCGCCGTTCATCCCGGCCAC